AACCTCTTGAAATGTGGCTTCACTTCACAATCACGTAGGTAACTCCTTTCCATGTATTTACACATACATTTATCAAAGGAATTATTAAGAAGCTAAACTTCAACCTGGCTAACTTGCAGAACCGAACACATACCTGGGATGAATACTTCATGTGTACGAATCTATAAGTATGAGCCTTCCACATTGAATTCAACTCCTAACATTATATTAGGATGGAATTAGGTGTCTCGTCATTATAGAATTATATGGACTTTAATCGCATCCCGATTACAGACTTGTGCACTAAGTCTCTTGTCAGACCTTTTGTCAATTGATCTGCCAAAGTTTGTTGCGATTTCACAAACTCAATGAATTCACACCATTCATGATTAGTTCTCTAATCATACTATGTCTAACACCTAGATGTCTAGACTTGCCATTATAAACCTGGCTATATGCCTTAGCCAAAGCGGCAACACTATCACAAAGGATAGAAATAGGTGCTATCGGTTTAGACTACAAAGGAATCTCATAGACTAAATTGCTTAGCCACTCTGCTTCTTTACCAACAGCTTCTAACGCAAAAAACTCAGATTCCGTTGTCGAGTTTTGTAATGCAAGATTGCTTTTTGGAAACACAAGAAATGGCACCTCCCCCAAGCAAGAATACCCAACCAGAAGTTGAGGAATGGTCCTCCATGTTGGTTATCCAACTTTCATCTAAATGACCTTCTAAAGCCGAAGGACTCCCTAAGTAACTCAAACCATAATTCATGGTTCCCTTCAGATACATAAAAAGTCTATTCACTGCTTGCCAATGTTGAGCACTAGGATTACTAGTGTACCTACTCAACTTCCCCACAGCAAAAGCAATATCAGGTCTGGTACTTGTCATGGCATACATCAAGCTACCAATAGCCTTAGCTTATTCCAATTGTGAAATGTGAATGCCATTATTCGACATTAATTTCACACTTGGATCAATACGAGTACTCATAGGAGAACAATTGGTAAAATTAAACCGCATGAGAATTTTCTTAATATAATGACTTTAAGTCATCACCAATCCTTTGTTCATCCTCTTAATTCTTATTCCAAGAATTACATCAGCCTCGCCTAAATCTTTCATGGAAAAATTGGATGATAACAATTTCTTTGTTTCATCCACTTGATTTTGGTCGGTACCACAAAATCAACATGTCATCTACATATAAGCAAATGATCACTCCAGCTCTAGTAGCATCATCAAATCTACTATAAACACATTTGTCACATTGGCTTGTCTTGAAACCAAAAGACAAAATCACCTCATCAAAATTTTGATGCCATTGTTTAGGCGCTTGTTTCAGCCCATGCAAATATTTGACAGGTTTACAAACCATATGCTCTTTACCGGGCATAACAAAACCTTCTAGTTGTTTCGTGTAAACTTCCTTGTCAAGATCACCATTTAAAAAGGCTGTTTTCACATCCATTTGGTGAATAACCAGATTGTGGATACTTTCCAAGGAAACCAACAATCTAATAGTAGAAATACGTGCAACTGGAGCATACGTATCAAAATAGTCAATACCGGGTTTTTGTCTAAAACCATGAATGACCAACTGGGCTTTTAATTTCTCAGTAGTCCCATTTACATTCATTTTTTTGAAAATCCATTTGCATCCAAGAGGTTTATAACCTGGAGGAAAATAAAACAACACCCATGTGTTGTTCTCAAGAATTAATGATATTTCATCATCAATTGCTTCCTTCCAAAAGGCACTATCATGAGACTCTATGTCCTCTTGATATGTATTAGGATCATCTTCAATACTATAGCAATAAGAGTATTCAAGATTAATTTCATCTCTTGAACCTTCTACCAAATACAATTGCAAGTCAGATCCGAAACTTTTCACAATTTGGCCTCTTTTGCTTCTAGAAGATCTTGTGGTTCTTGAACGATGCCATCACATTGACGTTCTGAAGCATGCTCTTTATTAGCACCAAAAGTTATATCCTTAGGCCTTTGAATCGATGAAAACCACATCTCATCAAAAATTGCATCCCGCGATTTGATAACAATGTTAATTGAAACCGAATCATTAGATTTTATTACAAAAAACCTATATGCCTTGGAATGTTCAGCATATCCAATGAATATGCAATCAATTCCATGTTCTCCTAAAACTTTCTTTTTGGGCTTGGTAAGTTTTACAACTACCCGACATCCTCAAACTCAAAAATAACTCAAATTCAGCTTTTTCTTGAACCAAAGTTCATATGGGACTGTTTTATTCCTTTTATTTGGAACCCTATTTAACAAATACTAGGCCGTTAGCATGGCCTCTCCCTAGAATCCTTCACCCAATCCCGAGTATGATAACATTAAGTTTACCATTTCCTTTAAAACTCGATTTTTGTGTTCAGCAATACCATTCTGTTGGGGTGTGTAAGGTGTCGTGGTCTCATGAATGATACACACTAATTGAAAATATATGGGATCCATATATTCACCTCCCATATCTGTCCTGAGACGTTTAACCGGAATGCCCAACTGCAATTCTACCTCGGTTTTGTATATTTTGAATTTATCTAAGGCTGTATCCTTAGAATATAACAAATACACATAGCAAAACCGAGTGCAGTCAT